TTTAAATTGTCTGATTAAAATATAATTAAAAACCCCTCTAAAAACCCCTCTTAAAAATTATCCTAGGCCAGTCCCGCTTGTTGGAACAGCCATGTCTTGAGGGCGCGGCGGAAGGAAGGGAGATCAGGGATCACCCTGATCTCTGGGGGCAGCTCATTCCAGAGGGTGGGAGCTCCCACAGAGAAGGCCCTCCCCCTTGAGGTCACCAGCCGGCACTGTCTGGCTGACGGCACCCTGAGGAGACCCACCCTGTGGGAGCGTACTGGCCGATGGGAGGTAATCTGTGGCTTCATCTAGGGCTTCATAAGGTAATCTGTGGCTTCATAAGGTAATCTGTGGCTTCATAAGGTAATCTGTGGCTTCATAAGGTAATCTGTGGCTTCATCTAGGGCTTCATAAGTAACAACATTATCTTCAATCACATCCAAAAGCATTTTGTAACTATTTGCTATTTTATGGACAGTTTGGTATAATGGTTAAAGACACAAAGCTAGAAACTGAGATCATGAATCCTAGTCCTGTTTTAGGCATGAAGCCATCTGACTTACTTCGAGGCTGTCACTCTCTCTCAACCCTAGGAATGAGGCAACGTCAAGCCACTTTCTGAAAATGTTGCCAAGACAGCTGTAGGACTTTATCCAGGCACTCATCTTTAAAATGACCTAATAATAATATTTATGATATTTAATATATTTGGGGTTATTGCTATTTGCTGAATTTAGAACAAAACAGGCTGCCTTTGCTGGAAACATGTGATGTATAGATGTCTTATCTTTGAAAAAAAATAAGATTTTGTAGACAACCTTTAATGGAGAAAAATATGGTCCACAAATGTTTTGTTATCATACATGCCTTTTAGGTGTGCAAAAGTCTATATTATATTTCTAAAATACAGTGACATAATTCCCCCCCCATGAAACAATCATAAACAAATACAACTATAATAATCTTGAGTAAAAAATGGTACTTGGAGGTACCATACATGAATACATGGAGGTACTATATATGAATACATATATAAATTACTATATATGAATATATAGGGACAATATTCCACAACTGTTCTCCACCATTAGACTGTCTTCCTAAACATTCTCCAAAATGCCTCCTTCACTTCTTTGTTCCTCAGGGTGTAGATGAGAGGATTCAGCATGGGAATTACCACTGTGTAGAACAAAGATGCCACTTTGTCTTGTTCCAAGGAATATGTGGAGCTGGGCCGTAAATACATAAAGAAGATTGTCCCATAGAATAAGCTGACAACAATCAGGTGCGAAGAACAGGTAGAAAAGGCCTTGCGTCTGCTCTGTGTAGAACGGATCTTTAAAATCGTGATTAAGAGAGAGGCATAGGAGAACAAGATAGTTACTGTAGTGCCCACAGTAATGCTCACTTGTGCTAATATTACGGTCTCATTGGTGTGAGTATCAGAGCAAGAAAGCTTTAAGAGTGGGGGGATATCACAGTAGTAATGATTGATTATGTTTGATCCACAAAAGGATAAAGAAAAACTGAGTGCGGTGTGTAAAACTGCATAGAAAATGCCAAGGAAATATGAAATAGCTGCCAACCAGACACAGATTTTTCCTGACATGATCACTGAATAACGCAGAGGGTGACAAATAGCC